AAGCAAAAGCTGTGCTACAGACACGCAGCTCATCAGACACTGCGGAATGCTGCAGAGCTCTGTATACGCTGGTACATCAAGGTAACCCTGACACCTGCATTCCCCACATGTGGAACCTTCAGTTTTATTTATCTGGCTTTATTACACATTTAAATAAATACTATTAAGCTATTTAAGCACAGATGCATCTTTCTTTATTCCCTGGAGTGGAAACATTCAGAGCTTACTTCTGAAAACATGATTTTCATAGTGAAATATAAGTGTACATTTGAACTCTTAATTGTAACAAAGACTAAACAAATAGATTTAGAAATTTCAACATTAGCTTGCTGGCAAAAAGTCTACAGATCCCAGGTCTTAATGTTTGGTAATGGCTTCTACCTGCCTCGTGCCTCATTGAGTAACACCCTCCTTTTTCCTATATGCAGAAGAAACCTTGTTAGAAGTCCTAATTTAACGTGATGTGAATTTGGGAGGGAGGTTTCTTGCTTTTTGTTACCTCACAGAGATCCCCCGTTAGTCAGCTTCTCAGTACCACCCCACCACACTGGGGGTCACAAAAACTCTACCGTTCTACATCTACCCTGGCGGGCGGGAGGAAAAAGAGCAAATCTCCTGAAGAAAGAAAGCTAAAAGATGTGAGGGTTCTACAAATAAGTTACACAGAAAACAGCAATTAAAAAATCAAGTTGAAAATGAATTCAGCTTCCTTAACTCTAAGTTTCATCAAAACTCTTAGTTGAGCTGTGTACCTCCTTTCAGTATTCCCTACAGTATGGATATATCTTGGTTGTAACAGCTGCTATATTGGAAGCCTGAAGAAATACACTTACTAAAAAACAAATCAGTGCCCCTCACGTATGTTCTCTATCAATTATTCTTGAAAACCTAAGGGTTACTTAAACTTGCTAGCTGCAGCAACCTACAAGATTTGGTGGAGAAAGAAATGGATAGAAGATTCCTGAGATGTTAGCAGTACCCATCGAGAAGAACAGACAGAGAGATACAGCAATGTGCTTTCCTCTACTCCCAGTTCCCAAATGCATAGGGCCCTTTCAGCAAAGTTTGCAAAGGACTTCTTAATCCCATCACTGTCACTGCGTGCACTTTTCAGGTCACTTCATAAAGGCTGTACTATTGGGCATCCTAAGGCAACAAGACAGAAGGTGTTTCAGGCTTGCAGATGGGTCAGTTCTTTCACATTTGTTATGGCAAGTACATTCTACTTGTAAGCACTACTGTGTGGGAACTGTTGAGTCACAGCCTGAACCGCTGATTGAGCACCTGGGGAAAGGAGCTGATCAGCCCTGGGAGCACAGGTGAAGGCAATTCAGCTGTGTGACTGGAAGGTGTGGGTTCCACCCCTCCTGGACCTCATTTAAGGGCTGACTGCCACTAAAGGATTCCTTGATGGAGATCTCTCCCTTCGTGGAGTTTGTTCCGTGAGCCGAGATCAGAGACAGGTGAGCATTTCTCTTCTTTCTTTTGAAACGTCTTCCTATTGCACTGGTCTCTCTGCCCTTACAACCACAAACACCTTTCTAAATAGTTCCTAGTCACTAGTAGAAGAAAGATAGCAAGAGCTCTTGGGAAAGAAGGGTGAGTTTAAATTACATTAAAAAGACATCAGTGGGAATAACAGAACAGGAGCAAAAGTTCTATTGGTTTTCATCCCAAATTTCATATGTATCTAAATAGACAACTAAACATTCCTATAGGAAAAAGGTGATTCCTTGCCTTAACTTTTTCCCCCTCTCTCTTACTAAGATTGTAACCAGGATTAAAAACCAGCAACAATCACAACAGCCAAATGCTTATATAAGGGACAGACAGATTTTAAGCCTTCTACGGGAAAACTTATAGACAAGTTGGTGAAATGACATCACAGATGAACAGATAATGGCATATACTGATTATCTCCAACACTGGTAAGTGTGGCATGCAGACATCTTGCAATTTGCCCCTTCAGCATGCAGCAGCTTCTGGAGAGCCAGACATTAGTAACAAGAGTAGCTGTTAGTAAGTTCACACCAGTGCTTGAAGAATTAACAATCCCCTCTAAAGTCCCCTTACATTTGTCTTCCCATCAAACCCCTGTGTGATTACCATACCCCTCTGAACACTTCTGCTGGTCCTTACTTGCTTTGCCTCCTCATTCCACACCTCCCAGTTCTTTGGGGGAGGTACCACGCAATGCTGTCCCATCAGAACAGCATGTCAGCAATTCTCTGCTTGGATCTGGAGCATCATGCAAGTCCCACCAAAACCACTGTGCTCAGCAAGCAGCAGAGGTGGACAGAAATCATATTTTCAAGAGCAAATGAGAGAAGACTGCCAGCAAGGCCTTCTGATTTCTTCAAAGAATCTACAAAAAACTAGACCTATGTATAAGATGGGGACCTGGTGAGAAAGTATCAACTGTAAGTTGTCACTCACTTGGAAGAAGCAGTGATCAGTGCAAACTAACCCAAATGGAATATTAACATCAAAGAGCTGCTGCTTCTGGAACTGGAGAAGAAAGCCTTCTGGTCAATCCCAGCTGCACAAAGAAGCAAGGAACACGATGCACAGCTGAGCAGCCAATGAGCAGCTCTAGGCTCACTTCAGCTTCTGATATTCAACATTCTCAGAAGACAAAAATCTACTGAGAAGAAGCTTTCAGTTCTCAAAGTTGCGCCTGTTCCACATACTTAATACAACCTCCCCTTTGAACATCCTACTGTAAATGTAGCCTTAATGCTCAACCAGAAAAGCTGTGAGCAGAACAGGTTATATACCTCAGGATCTCGATAATAGCATTTAAATAAATCCTTCAGACTCTCAGCAGCAGAGCCAACAATCTCTTCCCCTTTGAACAACTTTTTTTTAAACAATACACCTTCAGTGTCTCAGCTTTATCTCCCTTTTATCCTTCCTTTTTTTTTTTTTTACCTTAAATAAACACTTACCTTGTAACATCTTTGTTTTAAGAAAGTACAAGATTTTCTGGTTTAACCTGGATTTGCCATGGACAATCCAGGCAGCTGTGACCAAAAGCCTTCTGGAGCCAGCTGACTGTCATCAGCTGTACTTCACCCCCTCGGGGGTACTTCAGATAAGGATGCTGTTTCCAATTTTTCCATAGCACTATATAGCAATATACGTTAGTATCTGCTGAAAACTGAACCACAAAATTCAGTGTTTTAATTCCCGACCCTAGAACACAATTAACTGCACTGCTTTAAGTGCTACTTCACTAAAGAAATTCAATGCTTACATTCCTGATAACAGTGGCAGCTGGTATGCTTGTGAGCCACAACCTCAGTTCTTAGATTTATACACTGTATTTCACAGTGTATTTGTCCATTTCTACCCCCAAAAAATAAATTAGTTCAGAAGCTAAAAGTTATGAAATATAGTGTCTGCTAAGCAGTATGCTGAAGAAGCATCAGAAAGTATCCCAGCAGTCCCCATGTAAGAGCTCAGACATGTAAGGACCATGCTGTACTTGCTTTTTTTATATATAAGATGCAAAGCACAGCTGGTAGCTTCTGCATTCCTGATACAACCAAAACTTTCAATTTTAGCAAAACAAGTGGAAAAAGATTATGAATTAGGAACAACAAACTTTAAGGACAGAGATGTAAGGAAGAGTTGTATTGTCATAAAGCTGCCAAACTCTGATACTTTCTGCAGCTCTAAATAATTCTATCAGCCAGAAAGCTGCAGACAAGTAGCATTCACCAGCTGCAGCAAGTTCCATTGTGCACGGCACACCATGTACTGTGATCTTTGAAGCCATCTCACACCCAAACCATCAAAGCTCAGCCAGTCTTGGGGGTCAGCTCTGGCCTCAAGATCAAATCTTCCACCGCCACAAAAGTATGGTTTGAGATAGACTGCCACTGCCTTATGCTTGGGCTATACTCTTTCATTCAAATAAAAAATATCAGTACTTCCCTACTTGGAGGAAATTCTGATGTCCAGCTGATTTCAAAGTTTAGCCTCATTACGTAGGCCCACCCACATGATCACATAGTGAGGGTTCAATCAGATATAAGCCCTACTCCTGAAAACATTATTCAGCTCAAGCATTTCTGCTTGACTTGTTAGAACCGTTTAGTTCCTTTCTGCTTAACGAGTGTGGGAGAGTTCTGACATTTCTGCAATATCTTTCTGCAGGAATGAAATTTTATTTCTCCTGACGGGCAAATACAATGCATCCCGCAGTGCTGCACGGCTGTCTCAGAGATGAGGGAGCCGACTGCTCTGCTGCACTCGGTCACAGCTCAGCACAGCGCTGCACAGAACGGGGCACAAGCGGTAACTCCGCTCCTCTGGCTCACTCACAGTCCCTCTCCAGTCACCAAAAATCTGTTCGTGCCCTCACGATGAGCTCAGAGGGACGGCGCTGCCCGTCCCTGCGCCCACCCTACGCTAAGGATGTCAGACAGCTGTTTTCTCCCACTCGTTTCTGGTAGGTGTGGTTATACTCGGCGCAGCACCGCACCGAGCGAAGTTCCAGCGGCAGAGCGGTGACCCCGCGCCACTGCAGCACCGACAGCCGCCGGCAGCGGACGGCGCGGCCCCACCTGTTGTGCGCCGGGCACGCCTGGGAGCAGCGGGCCGCGCCGGGAGGAACGGCGCGGCGCCGCGGGATCACGGAGGGCGCCGAGCCGCACGAAGGAGCGCCTGAGGCACACGGCCCTCGCCGAGCGCCCGCACGCCGGGCTGCAAATTACCGCGTCCGGAGGCGGTCACGGCCCTCGGCCTCCGCGACGCCCCGCCGCCCGTCCCCACACGCCCTTCCTTCCTCCCGCCCCGCAGCGATGGAAGCGCCGCTCGGCGCGCCGTTACCGCGCCCGGCCCGGAGCCGCCCCCGCCCTCCGGAGCCTCCGGGACCCCGCGGCCGCCCGCCCCGCTCCGCTCGGGGCACAGCGCCGCCGGGACAAAGGGGCGCGGCGGGCAGGACGGCGCCCCTCCGCTCCGCGCTCCGTGCCGCGCCGCCGCCCGCCGCTCACCATCCGGGAACTCGCGGTCGCTGATGTGCTGGAGGTGCGGGCCGCCGCCGCCGCCGGGCTCCGAGTCCCCCGAGTCGGCCTCCGCCGAGCCCGAGCCGCCGCCGCTCGCCGCCGCCTGGTACGCGTCCGCCCAGCGCTCGGGCCCCGCCGCCGCCCCGCCGGCGCCGCCGCGGGCCCGGCCGAGTTTGGGGCTGGCGTCCGGCGACACGCAGCAGGTGACGGTGTTGCCCATGGAGCTCGGCGCTCCCCCGCCGGGCCCCGGCTATCGCGGCCGCCGAGGTGGGGCGGGGGAGGGGGCGCGAGGCACCGGGCGGAGGGAGGGAGGGAGGAGAGGGAGGCGGACGGGCGTCAGCGCTCAGCGCCGCATCACCATCGCCTCCGCCCCGGCGAGGCGCGGCCCACGCCCGCCCCAACGGCCGCGCGCGAGCCGCCGCCGCCTCCTCCGCGCGGCGACCGACGGCCCTGGCGGAGCGGCCACCTTCCCCCGGGCCGGGGGAGGGGGAGAGGCGCGGCCCCGCCTCGCTGCCGGCCAATCGCCCGCCGCGGCCCCGCCGCGTGACGCCGCTCCGCCAACGGCCGCCGCCGCCGTCACGCGCCGCCGTCGCGCTCCGCCTCCCGCCCTCCCTGAGTGCACGCGCGCGCGCAGCGCCGCCCCTCGCGCCTCCCCCGGCTCGCGCCCCGCCTTCGGGCCGGTCCGCGGGGTCGCGGAGCTCGGGCAGCGCGGCCGGGATGGGACGGGGGCTGCGGCGCAGGGGGCGCCGCTCAGCGGCCGGTGCGGGCGGGGTCTGCGGCTCGTACGGCTCGTACGGCTCGGGCGGGGATCCGCGGCTCGCGGAGAGCCGCCTTGCTCTGAGCCTCTTGGCCGTCTGACGGCCCTCGTGCGGAGCTGCTGCGTCAGAGGAGCGCAGGACCCGTTGCCGGGTGCTTCGTACAGGGCGGTGATGGCGCTGGGCGCCCAGAGCTGCACTTGATGGAGGTGGCACCGCGCCTGGCTGCACGGCCCCGCACACACCGACTCGGTGCCGTGGCCGCATTCCGAACACCGCCCGCTGTGATTTACTGCCAGTCCCATCCTCCTCCCGTGCCATCCTTCTGCCATCTCGCGTGATTTACCCCTGTGAGTCAGCAGTTCCCATCACACAAATGCCCGTGGCTGTGCCGGGAGTACGGCCGTCCCGCTGCACACCGGGCCGAGGGCGGGTGCAGCAGCCTTGGGATGTTCTGCGTGGAGTTGGTTGGGCCTTTCAAACCCCAACCTCGCTTTATGAAGATAGGAAGTAATTCCCTTCCGTTGGTGTTCATGGAGAAAATGTGACCTAAGCAGAACGCACGAGAAGCAGCTGAGGGTTTCAGCTGGCACTCACACCCTGGCTGGCGTTAACACTGCTCAGGAGCCCTCCTGAGCTGGATGCTCACCAGTAGCACGCAAGCTGCTCCATAGGCCTTCAGCTCTGCTCCCAGAAATCACCTTTGGCTTTTCATGGCGCACGGTGGGGAGAGAGCGTGCTCACTTCACTTTTCATGAACAAGAAAGTTACTTTCCACAACCTGGGAAATGAACCCAAACGGGAACATCTGTAACTGCCAGGAGAGCTTCAGGCAGCCCCAGGGCCAGGCAGGGCTCCGGGATGAAGTCAGATCACGGTGACAGCAGCAGCTCATGTTCCCCAAATGTGGAGATGGAACAGAGCCATGGTTTATTCTGAAAACACAAAGCACCAGATTCCCTCTTGCTGCACACGTGGGGAGCCCAAAGGGCTCACGTACTGGAGCCTCCCCTGCTGCTGCTGAGCCATGAGCCCAGCTACCTGTGTCATTGCATGCGGGGGCACAACAAGGAAAGGCTGCCAGGCCTGGCAGGGCGCTGCAGGGTGCTGTGCTCCTGCTCACGGGGAGGCGGTTCTGCTCTGCACTCGGCCTGTTTGCCCCACACACGGGAGTTGCTGCCTACTGGCACTGTTTGCAGACAAACCCTTGCACTGCCCAGCCCAGGCTTTCCCCACTGCAGTTCCTTGCCAGAAGATCCATGCACATTTGTGTTTGACTCCTGTAGAAGCCAAGTGCTGGAGCGCACAGCCACACAGCTCTCCAGCCCAGGCTCCACCACACAGAGCCATGAGAAGCTTTATCCCTGAGAGCAGAGCTGGAAGCCATCACTACTGTCTGAACAACTCTTGAGAAACTCCAATATCTATGGGCATTATGATCCACACCAATGGCATCAAGCAGCCAGGGGTCTCCCTAAATGTCTGGAGGGACACTGCAGGACCTTAAGCCATCAGCTTGGCAGTCAGCCTCAGTCCCAGGAATGGAGACCAGCTCTTTGCAGATGCTTGTTGTGCTTCACAGGGCCAAGAATTTTTAATCCTGTACATTCTGCTCTTATCTGCACCTTGACTTTGTGCTGCATGTGCTTTCCCAAGGCAGTGTCCCTCCTTGCTTGTTTGTTGGGAGATAACAGCAGTCCTGGCCTGAGGCCTCGTCCCCTCATCCCTTCTTAGAAAGTGTCCCAGCTGCAGGCACAGGAGCATTCTCCAGCCTGAGCCTCCAGCAGTCTGCGGGTGACTTGGAGAGGGGCCACGGCATTGTCTTTTCCTGGAAACATGGCTGCAGGAAGAATGAATCACAGGTTGGACTGTGTAACCAACTGGAAACAAAAGCTCAAGATTCTGCATCTCACTGCTGTGAATAATGGGGGGAAAAGTGGGCATCCTGTTTTGAAATCCAGCACCAGCTGACAGGATGAAAACACTGCAGGCATGATTGTCTTCTGAGGCTCAGCAGTAACATAAGGCTGTGGCCATTTAAGGGAGAAAAACTGAAACAAAACAGTACTTAGGGAAATAGGTCCAATGCTTCCACTAGGGTATGAGTAAAAAGAAACCAATGAGGTTGTTCAGAACACACAGGGTCATAGGGTGAGGTTTAGTAGCCCTAACATTCTCAGTTTTCAGATCACCTTCTGTACTACTGGCGAGCAGTGAGCAGTGCCAGCAAGGCTGGGAGCTGTGCCTCACAGCACACAGACTGCAGCATGGCTGTAATTGATCCCACCTGTACCTGTGACTCTGCAGCAATCCTGGATGTCAACGCAGACAGCGCAGGGGTTCTTAGCATGCGAACACCTGGATCACTGCAGTGATGCCAACAGCACAAATATATGGCAGTGAATATTTTTTGACCTTGGAGTATTTTTTTGGATCTTGCCTTCATTTTGTCCTAAGAAAACATAAAACTAGCATTTGCAGGTATTGGAGACTCAAGAGAGTGAACTGCAGCAGTGGAGTTATGGAGACCTTACACCTGAGGAGAGAATCTCAGATGTGCTGAAATCAAGATGTGCTGGAGGAGCCAAGCATTGGAAACAGCTGTACTCCAGATCATGTATGCAGTTTTCTTATGAGGAAAAGGGAAATGCTTTCCAGTATTTTAACACAAACATGAACATGGCATGCGTGACTTCATTCAGAAACAGCAAACTGCATGAGTAAGCCCAGCCATAGGTTTAAGGAAAACTTCTGAAGGCTTAATTCCAATGTGGGCCATGAAGAGCCTGGAAGGAGGCCCTGAGGAGCCCCTCTTGTGAGGTCTGAAGCACCAGAAATTGCCTACAGGTGCCTGGTGCTTCTTCTCCTTTGTCTGAAGGGATTTGTTTCTTAAGAGTGGAGAAAAGCTGCCTAATACCATCTCAAATAAGTAAACAAACAAACCAACCACCAAAAAACATTTTTCTTGGTTTCTACTTGTTGAAAAAGGGAACCTGTTGTGTCTACCTGCCTGCTCTAGCTGCTGTCTGCTTGCCTATACAACTGTTTTCAAACTGCCCTTAGTTGTTAACTAGTTGTAAATTAATACAGTGCATGGCTTGCACTGTAATTTTCCCTCCAATTACAGAACTCTGCACCTACGGAACGCATCAGAAATGCGAGCACTTAAAACTAACCCTCTGGATCTACATTCAGCCTCCACCAAAGGGTGTTCTTGCCGCACATTTCCCAGCACAGCAGCGTCCCACAGGCAGACACCCGAGCCAGGTGCTCTGCAGCCCCCAGCCAGGCACCCTGCACACGAGAGCTGCAGGAGAACAACACCCGCACTGCGACCCGCCTCCCTGCCTCCCTGCCTCCCGCAGCCCTGCAGCACAGCAGCACAGCACTGTCTGCTTCCCATCAGAGAGCCAGCACGGCCCAGTGCCCAGCTGCTGGCACACCAACGTGAGGCTGTAGGTCAGATCTGCAAAGTGCATTAGCAAGAGCTGGAGGTTTCCAGCAACCAAAATGCCATTGTCACTTATGGGGAGAAGAGCTGGCTCATTTTGCTTTTTGTTAGTTAATTAGAATTTCAGAATAATGCTAGCTTTCAGAACTGCGTGGCCTTTGAGAGATCAGTCACGTAACTCCACTAAAAGTGATGTGATTTTTCTGTAACAAGAGAATGTAATAAGAGTGGTGATTATATCTGACAGTTGATCAAGATATGAGGTTTATGGAGTGATTATAATAGTGCTGATGGGAACTATTCCTTCCTCAGAGGCACCAAAACTTCCTGCATTTCAGCCCCTGCGCTTCTGAAATTATGCATCTTCATGATTTTTTTCATTACTTCCGTCGCTTAACATAACTGTGTTTGTATAAAGAAAATGACACAATAGCTCATGCCATACATTATTATCTTATTTTAACACTTTTTGCAGAACCAGCAAGTTATAATGTCTACAGATAACCTGTTAGTTTCTGCAGAAACTTAGGTTTTCATTTTTAATTCATCCTGTTGGTTTCAAAGATGGTTCAGATCAACCAGGCTTTATTCTGTAACTGCAAGCAGCAATGAGCAAAATTAATCTCTGGCTTACTCCCTTTTTGTTTAACAGAAAGCAATTCAGTGCCCCATCTATCTCTCTGGTGCAGAGTGTGTGGAAGCTACCAGTGAACACATAAAAACTGTTCATCACTTCACTGCTCATCACTTCACTGCTAGTCACTTGAATGGCTGCTGCTGGTGGTAGCTGAGGAGAAAGCTTTCTTTTCCAAGTTCCCCACCATGCCTGGTGTTAGTTAGTATTTGTTTGATTGGAGGAAGTTTTTAGCAAAATAGACATTTGTCAAAACTTTCCTTCACAGATAGTTTTTGTGTTCTAGTGGAAGGACAAGCAGAAACAACTGATATTTACTTAGACAGGAAAGGATTAAACACATAGGACCAGAAGTCTCCAGGCAAATAGTCTCTGCAGCCATTTGAGACAAGGCGTTGCTGTCAGACAGTTACCAACAACGCATGTTCCCAGATACACTTTTAAAAAAGTATATCAGATTGTTTCTATTTATACCTGTCTTTGCCGTGGCAACCAGAGACTGTGAGATGGATGCGGTATTTTCCCCACGTTGTGCATGTCTGCAAGATCCATTTGGTATACGCGGTGTCTGCAGAACCATCACAAGAATTGTCTTATTCATTTCAAAGGAAGGATTTTAAACATTTAGCAGTCAAGAGAAGATTTCTGTAAGGGATGTGTATCAGTACAGTCTTAAAAGAATTTGCTCTCATTTTCATGACATCTACTTGATTCTTTGATTTTCTGAGTATTACAAGGACCACTGCTCTGAAACACTTCTTTAAATTACCCCACAAAGCTTACTGGCATCAGAGGGAGCAGGATTTACAGCTGGACACACTGCACCTCTGTTCTATCAAGTAGTTGAGTGAGATGAGAATGGATTCAAAGCAGTGTTTCTTTTTGCTTTCACTCATCCTTGCTTACCTTACAATGAGCAGTTTCCTACTTTGCAAGTTTATCTGCAGCTCAGATGTCCATATTGCCTTCTTCAGCATTTAAAGGCGGAACCGAGTTACATTTCTCCCAACTTCATTGCTGTGCTAAGCTCTCACCCTGCTGGGAGAAAAAGCACTTCAGTTCTGGACAACTGTCCTATGCATAGAATTCTTTGTTGTTGCATTTTCCTTGCCATTTTACTGTCAGGAAAGGTGGGAAAAAAGCATGTCTCTTACTCTGCCATTATAATACTTGAGTACTGTAACTTGGAAAACAGATTTGTAGAGAGGAAAAAAAGTTAAATGTAGGGCCCTTTAATAGCCTTTAATTGCCTTTTTAATAGCTTCACTACCAAGTTATGATCTGGAAAGTAATTCCTGGCCTTCTGTCTAAGGCGTGTGGAAGTCAGTGCCAAAGTAACATTAGCAAGGAAGAAAGAGAAATACTTCTGGGGAGAAGAGCAGGATTCACAGAGAGCCTGCTGAGCTGCTGAGATACTCTGGGATATATGTCTTAGAAAAACACATTCTTGAGAAAAGACTATTCGCTGCATTATTGTCAAGTAGGAGTAGTGGCAAGGAACCAGTGCTTTAGACATAAAACCACAGTAAGCTGAATCATCACACCTGCTCTGGCCTGCTTAGGGAAAGAAGTCTGAGTTGCCGTAAGACAAGTACAAACCGGTCTGGGGCAAGTGGGATTCTGGTTTCCATTCCACTACAGTAGCAGAACCCTAAAAACAAGCTTTGTTTCCTGCTCCCCCTGTGCAGCCTGTAGTGCTGTTCCACAAAGGTGTTAACAAAGCCTAAAGCCGCTCTGTTGAAATCAAAAGCTTTCACATATAACCACATTTGCGTTCTTCTGCCAGCCAGATCTGCTGCTTCTCGTGGGAGAGCAGGGCTGTCTCTGGAGCTGGTTGTGCTCCCCGAGCTTAAGGGCTGGCACGGGGAGCCGCTGAGCGCTGCAGCCTCCGGAGATGGGCGCAGGTCCGTTCCCCCAGGCACTTCTGTGAGCCGGGCACGCCAGCTCCGGCCCCGTGCAGGGAACGAGGAGCGCGGCTGGCACTGCCCTCCTGCTGCCGGAGTCCCCCCTGAGCGCCTCCGGGAAGCCAGGACGGCCGCCCGGCTCTCCCACGGCCTGTAGCAAGGCTTTGGAGCAGGCTCAAGGAACTGGACAGGGAGACAAAGGAGAGGCGCGCTGTGTTGTTTTGCCAAACAAGAGATTAAACGGAGCCAAAGGCGAAGAGACAGCCGTGCGCAAACGAGGCGGCGGGAGCACCGGCACCGCACCGCTGGTGAGCGGCTCGGCCCCGCGACCCAGCCGCGCCGGGAGCCGCGTCCGACGTCAGCCGGCCGCGCAGTGACCGCTTCCACCCGGTGACGCTCAGCGGCACGGAGCCCTCGGGCCGGCCCAGCCCCGCCGCCGCACGGGGAGGCCGCGCCCGCCCCTCCCGCGCCCCGGCCCCGGTTCTGCACGCGTGAGCGGCGGCCGGCGGGACCCGCCCGGCGCCGCGGCCGGAGCGAGGGAGGGAGCGGGGCGGCTCGGCCGCGCCCCGCCGCGTTTCCGCCGTTCCGCAGGAGGCGGCCGCCATGGCGCTGGTGCCCTACGAGGAAGGCCGGGCGCTGCAGGGCCTGCGCAGGCCGACGGCCACGTACCGCTTCGCGGGGCAAACCGTCCACATCCGGCAGGACTGGGAGCGGCGCGGCGTGGCGGCCGTGGTGTGGGACGCGGTAGGTGCGGGCCGAGTTAGGGAACGGCGGATTAAAGAACGCTCGCTTTCCTAAGAGGCCTCGCACGTCCCCGAGGGCAGCGAGGCGCCCCGGGCCCCGCGCAGGCGGCGCGCAGCACGGAAGCACGCGGGGCCGCCGCCTGCAGCAGCCGCAAGGACCGCCAGCAGCCTCGTCCGGGGACGCGGCTCTCCCGAACGGCCCGGCCTTGGGACCGGCCCAAGGCTGCAGGGCGCCGGCAGCGGGAGAGCTGCGGCCCCCCGAGCGGCCGCGGGGCTGCACGCGGCTCTGGCCGTCTCCCGACGTCGGTTCTGGCAGAAGCCGCCCCGCAGGACGCTCCTCGGCACTGCACGTCGGGTACCGGGCCCGTTGTCGTATTCTGCCTCTAAGGCTCTTCCATAGAGCTCACGACAAGACCGCACGCAGCTCACAGGCCCTCCACAGAAGGGCCGACCCTTCTCATAACGTGCTCCTTCCGCATAAATCAGAAGCGCGGTGATTCAGTATGACCGAGGCGCACCTAACTGACCTTGTCTCCTGCCTCAGGCTGTCGTCCTGTCTGCTTATCTGGAGATGGGAGGCATCGATCTCAGGGATCGGTCGGTGATTGAGCTGGGAGCTGGAACTGGATTGCTGGGAATAGTGGCCACGCTGTTGGGTAAGGGTTTTTTGTTTGCTGTAAGCAATTTACAGCTGTAGTAAAACTGGCATTTTTACATCTACATGCAGAAGTTAATACGAAAGCCACACATGTGAACTGTGATATATCCTGAGTCATCTTCCTCTCTCGTCAGACTTCTGAGTCTGCTGTGTTATTTACTGTACTGATAGTGCCACCACAGTTTACTTTATGGTGGGACCCTGCTTAGACTGATGCTGTTACCATGGCAGTCTGCTTCGCAACACTGAGCTCTGCAGATCTCCTCCCCCAGGGAGCAAGAGCTGTGCTTGTCGTCTTCCAGTTCTCCTGAAATGCAGCACAGATAAAGCTGCAGACAGAGAGCACACAAAGCCACATTAGCCTATCTTGCAGACAGGGAAACCAAGGTCTGGAGGAATGATTTGCCTCCCATACGACTGTGGCCCAGGCAGGGGCTGAGCACTGCTAAATCTGTGCTAAGTGTCACAGATTATCATTGTAATTCAGGGCTGTACTGACAGAGGAAAGTGCCTGTTGAAATAATGAAAACAAAGCAGTTTGACAAAATGTGGCAATGCTGTAGGAAATCACACAGGCATAAATTTTGTCTGACTTCTTTAGTTGCTTCTCTTCTAATGAGGAATCAGAGCAGGTTAATGGTGACAATCTTTTTAAAATTGTTGTCACATATCAGAAAGTAACTACTGTCATGCACTGAGAAAAAGCTCCAGAAAGCCTTTTTGTTTAACCCAAGTTAATCTTCATGTGGAATATATGAATATATTTTATATTCTTAAGTGACTGATGAAGAATGGGATGTGTGCAGACAGTGGGATTTCTGCTTGTGGTGTTCTTTTGTTTTTAATCAAGCATCTCAGCAGTTGTTAGTGTTTAATAGGACTGCTTACCTTGAAGCTTTGTATTCCAGATGCTCTATTTATGGACATCAAGCATTTATCTGAGACGTATATTCCTGTACCACTTAGGTGCTCGTGTTACCATCACAGACAGGGAGCCAGCACTGGAATTCCTGGAATTGAACGTATGGGCTAACTTGCCTTCTGAACTACACCCAAGGGCTGTGGTGAAGGAACTAACTTGGGGAAAAGATCTAGGCAACTTCCCTCCAGGAGCATTTGACTTCATCCTGGGGGCAGACATCATTTATCTCGAAGAAACTTTTGCGGAACTGCTTCAGACATTGGAGCACCTGTGCTCAGAGCAAACTGTGATTCTTCTTTCCTGCCGTATCCGCTATGAACGGGATAACAACTTCCTGAAGATGCTGAAAGGCCGTTTCTCTGTAAATGAGGTGCACTATGATTACAGTAAGGATGTTCATATCTACAAAGCACAGAGGCACAGTCACAAAGATGACTTTTGACTGTATACTTTGTTAATAAACTGCTGATCCTTTTCAAACCTCCCTTTGTTTCTACTAAATACACTTGTAACTAAGCGTATAATTATGGAGGCTGTGTTACTTCACTGACTTCTTTTTCCACTCAGTCTGAACCAGCAGGGAAGGTTCCTACCTACCTTTTGCATATTGATTTTCCACTTCATTCCCCAGTAAGAAATGTGTAAGGTCTTCCAACAACTTTTTATCAAATAATTTTTGAAGTTGATTTATGTTGCAGAAATTGTCATACATGAAAAATGTAATCAAAAGATCTGTTGTTTAAAAATCTTAATTTTCACACTTAATTTTCATGAGAAGCATATTAGAAATTAGATTAGGTGGGATTTTTTCCTTTTATCACTTCTTCAACTATTGAAAAGTGGAAGAAATTATGACTTCAGTTCAAAATGTTTTAACTCATCAGACCTTCTACATTTTTAACACTCTGGTAAAAGAAACCATGCAAAGGGCACACCCAATGAAGGCAGATGCCATAAATCTGTTCTATTGCTACCACTACTGAACTGAAGAAGAGTAGGGAAACAAAGAACCAGGGCTGGGGTAGGAGGGGGATCAACAGCTCAAAGCAAGCTAACTTAGAAATTAGTGGTTGTATCTAACTTGCAAGTGTGGAGGCCATACCTGCTTCCATCAGACTTCCTAATGAGAAGATGCTGAGGGTCTGTGATCCAGAAGTGACATGCAGATTGTACTCTGGAAATAACACGTCATTATGGCTTCCACCAATGAGGCCCGAAGGCCTTGCATTTTGCCACTGGAGAATCTGTTGTCTGTTTTCAGCTTTAGTTCTCTGCTTGGCTCTGAACTCCACCTGAGGGCGGATGCTTTGTAATACGCTTGCTTACAACGGTATACTTAGAAGCCACACGGTGTCACTAAAACAGTACTTACTGGGAATTTGCAGTTTCAAACTAGCATTGAAGTCTTTTGAGGAAATGAAGACAGCACCTTTAATTAAAAGCAGAACATGGTATGAGCTGTAATGTGCCATACTGTCTTTTCTGTCCTACCAATTGGTGAGCAACATCTGGAAAAAAATCACAAGCCCTCCCAATTCTGTTTCTGGCTGTAATGTTTGGAATGGAACTTCAGTTCTCACTGCTCCTCTTCCTTTTCCTCCCCCCTAGCACTTCCTTCTCTCTTAGCTCATCTGTGGTCACTGCATGTTTTGGTTCCCTTGGGGCTGGGGCTGGCAGAAAGCAGAATGCTGCAGTTTGTGCCTGCCTGCGCACGTGACTTGGCTCCTGGGGAAGGTCTGCTACCTGGCTGTGCTCAGCCCCTGCAAGAGGCTGCAGCTGCACTGCTGCCTTCAAAGCCTACTTAAACAGCACAGAATAAAACCTAGAAGTTTAACAACCTGTATGATGTTAAAAAGGGAATCTTTGCTCCATGGCTTGCTATGATGAGAAGTTTTGAATTTTTAAAACAGATCAATCTAATTGCATTGCTTTCTAATTGTTTAGCAGCTCCCACTGTGTAGCTGCTTTTACAGCCAGCAACCTTTCTGAGAGCAGGCATGTGGCAGAAAAGATCAGCCCTGGCTGCTTCTAGACTTAGGAGTGAACCACACCAGATGTGTAGGGCAGGAGGACGGGAGCAATGGCCCCATTGGGTAAGCACTGAGAGCAGCTCTCCACAATGACATCTGCAAGCCTGAGGCAAAACCAAACTCTCGTGTCCCGACTGATTGGTCCCAGGCTAGCTTCTGATCTAGAATGAGATGATGCACATTAATGGTTCAGCAGCTGCATGGCAATTATGCTAACACCCTGCCCAGGCACTTTCTGCCACTGTGTTTATCCTATACTTAAAAAAAATCAGTGAGATTGTCTTTTAGGTGGTTTCACTGCATCACTCCTGGTTTGCATTATCATGTGAACTGAACTGAATGGAGGACTTGTTGGTGCAATTGTCCCAGAGTAGTGACGCAGTGCATAAACAGACTCTTGACAGTAAAAAAACCACTCACCCTAGGGGGAGGATCCAAGACACAGAGAAGTGACTGGGTAGACGTGAACAAACCATGATTTTCTGCAACTGTCTCTGAAATGCGCCATTCTGTGAGGGAACAAACTGCAGTGTCATTGCAAAACTGGTGCTTTATTAATACGAAGACAGAGTATAAAATTCAGCTCTGTATCTTACAAAGAGCTTCAAGGTGCCTCAGCACCAGAAGTACCAGGTTAACTGGATGATGTACTGACTGCAGAGGGACCTGTGTTACCTGATTCCTTCAGTGTGAAGTTCAAGACAAACTGCATTTTTATCTTACAAACTAACCTGCCTGGGATTCCCCTCATTGCAGAGATGTAGATTCTGTGAACAAGTATAGGAACAACATTATTAAAATGCTTAGTTGTGAAAACCACAAAATCCCACCCATAATGAGTCAACCTTTCTTCTTTCCCTTGGTGCATTGCATCAGTGATGGATTTATTCTGGCTTTTGTCCCGGTGGTTCGATCCAGCCTTGCAGATTACATAATCAATTTGTGATTTTGCAGTGTTTGCTGCCTTCTCTTCTGTTCTCAAAATCAGCAGTACATGGCTTAAGAGTAATGCTTACAAGTGGGAAAGATAGCATATTTAAACTGTGAAAGGAGAAAAATCTTTCACACATTATTAAACAACAGAACCAAGTACCACCAAAACAGATACAAGAAAGGAAGTTTAAAAATAGGTAGTAGAAGTGGAAGATAAACTTTGTCTTCAGGATTTACCCTCTAATTAATTCAAATTAATTAAGATTTTAAAAGCATTCTGTTTGGGAAGATACTCATGAATACTCACAGCACGCCACAAGTCATGAGGATACCATCATCTGCTTAAAATGTGCCCTTTCCCGTATTCCTATCTAGCTCTGCCTCTCAATCAGTGCAAAGGGAAAATCCTGCTCAAAAAAGAGACTTTTTAGAGTTTTTAAAAGCATGTTTATGTGACTGCACATAAATGTTTGTGTAAAAAGGGAGTTATGACAGTTTATACCACAAAGGTTACAGTAAGAAAAAGCACGTCTTTATGACAATAATTCACAAATTCACAAGAATCACTTTAATATACAAAGCAATTACTACCATTCTGAAACATAAAGCAGCTAATATGTACATAGTGTTAATAAAATGCATTATAACCCAGTACAGCTTTTTTTTTTTTTCTTTTTTTTTTTTAAACACAGATAAAGCACAAAAAATAAGTAAAAAAAAAAATAAACACAACAGGGATGTTTCTAGATCTTTGGGGAAAGGTAAATTAGGATTTATTTTCCCCCAAGAATGGATTTTCTTTCAGTCTTTTAACTACCACAGGTACGTGGGAGTTTAGCTCAAATACCCTGTTCTGTGCTAACATGGTTTGAGTAAAGAACCAGAAATGCAGATGAGGTGAACTTGCCCTTTCCAGCATACATTACAAAGGGAGAACAATAACTCTTGCTCTGGAAGCTTCCCTGAAAAACACTGTTCCAAAACAATTTTAAATTATAAATCCAGACAACCAGAAACTCATTTTTGCAGTGAACAACTGATCTGTGGACAAGCCTGTGGAGGATCTTGCTGCCAATGAACACCTCTTTTTGCCCTGTTCCCCATTGCATCCATAGAAGTCCATATCAGCAGCACAGCATTAAATCTCATACAAAGTCGCAGTTCAGAATTTTTAAACTTTATGTTTTAATATAAATAAATGTTATTACAAACACACACACACACAAAAAAAAAAAATAAAATGGAGTGGCACTGGATAAAACACAGCTTGTGGAGAGCATCCATTTCCAGACAACTGACCAGCTTAAGACCTTTCCCTTGCTCTCACTCAGCTATTCCCTAATTTAGAGAAATAGATTGCTGAAGCTGAAACTCAGTGAACCGACTGCTCCCAAGCAATGAGAACAGCAAGGGCTCAGCTTATGGAGGAGCGCTAACCATGGATCACTATGGCTGCTCCCTGGCCCTTTCCCTGTCAGTACACGGCTCCCGAGGACAGCTGGCTATTCCTCCTCCTTGCTGGTGAAAGTGAGACCTAGACTCACCGCTGTGGACCACAGGCCAAGAACTGCACTTGTAGCACCAGAACAGGTCAGTGTCTTCAATTTGTGCTACACAAAATAGCCAGAGCAAGTCTCTTTGCAGGACAGAGCTTAAGTACATGTAAAAAGTACATTCCAAGACAAAACACTTAAAATGCAACCCCCCTTACCACCTGGATCTGGTCCCTTTCCCTAAAAGATGAACAGATTTAAGCCATGTCTATCCACAATCCCGAACCTGCCACCAGCACACAGCAGGTAGGACTTCAGCTGAGCTCCATGATACATTCAGGTTTCTGCAAAATCAGTCTTTTACAGCCAGCAAATACAAAAGCTCAGGGAAATGAGTTCCCAGGCACAGTACATGAGAACCATGAAAGTACTGTATGCTTTTAAAACCTGCTTACTGTGACAGATTTCAGGATTATAGCTAAATTATCATTTCTGCACAAATAAGTTAGTTGTGCTTTTTTTCTTTTAAAGCAAAGTGACACACTGTCAGCATACCTTTAATTCCCGGTGTCAAAGATTTATAAAGCGTTTTGATTTATTTTCTTGGAATGCAGCTTTTAAAATGCACAGCTAAATCTCAAATTAAGGGGAATAAAGAGGCTGAGAAAGAGTTGGGCTTTCTTTCTGAGTTATCTCCCTTTCTCACCTGGGATCACTGAACCTGTTCTATTCTGTCTAAAAATAATGCCACATCCATCCTGTACCTACTGCTCTGAGACACCACACACTTAATTCTTTGCCATCTTCAGTACCACCCACTCACATCTCCTGCCAGTCTGAAGCAGTGCCTGCTGGAAGCCGGTGCTGATCAGCAAGTTACACTGGTGAAAGAGCCAACTGCTGTGGGGAGAGGAGTGAATTGTGTGCAGGCAGCGGGATCGCAGCAATTGTGCCCGGGAGCTTCTTAAGCAAACCCAATTGTTCTTATTTTTTTTCTATGCTTTTTTATTATTATTATTATTTTTATTTAAAAAGTGCACATTTTAATTAAACATTTACAAAGGATATCGTGTAACAAAAATAAATACATGACCTTTTGGTTAGATCATTGGCAAATGTGACATCACTAACCACCTTCAGGTAAAAAATGACAATAAAAACAGGGTCTTAGAAAACCAATGACATCCCCTATGAATTGTCATGCATTTGCAACCACTGATAATGAACTTGCTGTGATGCAGAGACCAGTCTTTAGTCCACAAAAAGCACTGGCTTTCTGTCTAACATAATAAAAAGGCAGAGGCCTGTTTTTGCTCAGATGACTACTTGCAGCTGCTGTCTACTGGAAGCCCAGATTTAAAAAACAAAACAAGACTGTAGTATAAATTTTGATCAGAAACTATCAGGGCTGTTTTCCTTATTAAATCTAACTTTTTTTTTCCTGAGCCTCTTAATGATTCCAAACACCCCACCGATTTTCTGATCAATGTAAAATACCAGAGAAGATAGTGATCTGCGACACAAACACGACCTACAGAAGAGCCAGAACCTACAGGAGTCTGTACAGTCCTGACAGCGTGACAGGCTACAATTGTGCTTTCAGATACAAGCAATGGTACCAGCAACTACCTGCTTCTGGTGAAACTGCTGCTTACATACAAATGCACTGCTGCTACTCTAGGAGGAAAACAGAAGTCTTACCAGTGGTTCCTTTAAAAAGCAACACCTCAACAACCATTCCAATTGTTTTGCCTTTGATATATAGCTGCCAAAGAGAAAAAGCACAAAAGTGAGTTATTCTGGGGGGTGGTGGCTGTTGTAAAACAACTGTTTACATCATTTCAAAAATCTCTGTCAAAAAAAATAAAGATAAAAACAAACCAACTCACAAAAGCCATGAAAAATGAAATACAATTCTCAAAAATGGATAACTGAGAAACAGCACAAAACAAATCAGTAATAAGCGCTAGAATAATGCAGCCCAGAAGTACTGGGCAGGGGGAGGCTTTCACACACACGCACACACCCACACACACACCCAGACGCACACAGAAGTAAAAATTTTTTCTGACCTCCATATACTATAATACTCAGCATTCCTGACTTAAAAGCTCTCAGAGCTGTAGATTATATACTGTGTGTATATATATATATGTACATATATTATACATATGTATTTTCCAAGAATATCTAAATTAAAAGAGCACCTCTGACAATATCTTAACTGCCTGACTGGTGCTGTAGTTTTGCAAAATAATGACATTACAAAAATTATATTTCAAATCAATCCTCGTTTATTATGAACATAATGGATCTAGCCCTTTCTAACCCTCTCCTCAGGTAAAACAGGCTATCGGTTCGAGAAAACTCACGATCGTGAGATATAAAACTACCTTCCCCCCCGCCAGCACTACTGCTGTCCTGTCTCCAAATGGCCTTAGTTTATAGAAGCTGATTACCCCAATCTCACTACTTGGTAAGTAACACATCAGCAAATGCCTGAATCATATTCTTTCCCCTTTTGGGTCACTATGAATAGTAAAGCATGTATGGGTAACCCTAGCCAGACCTGTACTCTGCCTAATACATTTTTTATCATCGTCATTAAAAATTTCTGTTTAAGAAATTCAAGTCCTTAAATCCTCAGTGCAGCATAAATAAAAATAAAGATTCTTGGAGCACTTTAAAATAACATTCTTTTTCTCAGTGAAATGTTTGTTGCTACTGCAGTCTACAGTAATGACACAATAGACTACTCACAGACCACACACAGACAGACGGGTAATGCAGTTCTCCTCTCACTGCCACACAGATTTGGTTCAGCCACGTAACAGAAGAAACAGGTCCAGGTCCAGCTGTAGGCTCCTGGTCCATGCATTGCCAGGCTCTGTGATGGGACTGCCCACGAGTGCCTACGGCCATGGCTAGGAGCATCCCCCAGCTCCCAGCTAGTCTCACAGAGCTTCAGTACAGAACCTCAAGCTTTTGCACACAGGTGGTTCTGCAAAACAAACAGCCTTAACACAGGCACTCATGGCCTTTTACACAATTCTCAAAGCTGGAGGAACCATTCCATGTAACTGTCAATTAAGCCATCATAAGCTTACATACTTGATGAGAACCATGCCTGCATCATCAACATTTCTAGTGTTAGTTCTGAAGAACTGGAAACCGTCAAAAATGCATGTGTTTTCTGTCTTTAAGAATCAGACAATTTTTAGGTAAGTGAGGCTGAGAATTTAGGGTCTTCTTTAAATTTCCATTGCTAAACTAATAAATTCATCTTCTGTTAAATAAAAACATGAAAATCAGTTTTCTATGGCAGATAAAAATAGACCATTTATAAACACCCTCAAAACTTAATTTGAAAATGAATTCTTTCATAATTTTGATACTTATGATCTCTTATTTGAAATACAATCTGAAATTATTGATAACTCTAGATTTAAAAATAATGCTACAAGTTTAACCCTGCTCCTTTAAAAGTCTCTTGGAAACTGAATGCCCTCTCAAATGAGAAAACTACAACTTTTAATACTGCTTAGTTGCTTGAGACTCAACTGCCAAGAGTCTTGCAAATGTTCTTGCAATGTCACACTGATTGTATAACCTCTTAGAAATTCATCTTTGAAATTTATCTTAAAAACAAATAGAGCGAATGGGAAAAAATATGAGCTAACGCTTTGCTAGGCAAGGCATTAGTACGGACCGGAGTCTTATTCATGCGTCCCTAAATGTAGAAGTTGGACCAGAGGCCCAAAGTAAACTTACTCCATCAAATGACTCACGTTAATATATGAAGAGCCTGACTCCAGGGGGCCAGGAAACAAACAGTGTGTGATTCTTTTTGACACATAATGGAAGTCCTAATGCTGATTATTTTTAACATTATCCACTTTTTTAACAATGTAAATCCAGAAATATTTCCTTAATACACACAAGAAGTCTGATCTTGCAAAAATCTGAGGCAGGTAAGTAGTTCTACTTACATTAACAACTTGATAAATCTGACCCTCCGCATGAAAAAATCCTCTCAATAAATTACGGATCTATTTAGCCTGGGCAAGTTCAAATAATTAATATTGTCCCTTGAGAAGCAGAAGTCGATTGGAGTATTTGCGTCTGAGGTCCCCTTCAATATTTGAGGTTGTCCTGATAGTTGCCATACTGCAATTTAATTTACGCATGGAAAACATCCTCCAAATTTGAAAAATAATTTAGTAAACCAGGACAATGCTTCTTTCAAGTTCAATAATTTCCATTACATATGATAGTGGTAGGGAAATAGAAATACGTGATTGCTTAAGAGGACATCAGACAAACTATACTGTTATCAGGGAGTATGTACGTGGAGTTGGCCACGCTTCAACTGCTTAGTTGTTCTGCATATAAATAGGCAGTGCTTTCATGTGTTAGCCTTATTATGTGACTGTTTTCTAAGCATCACTGCTGTACCTTTTTTATTCTGATTTCTTTCCCATTCAAATATTGTTTGCCAACCAGTAACATATGAAGTCAATGTTTTCTTTTTGTGCATTCAGAATGCCGAACACATTTGCACACACTATGCTTCAAGAAGCAACAACTGAACAGTGAAGCTTATTTCAATTCATTTGTGTCAGGTATGGAGTTTTCACTAGTTCAGGAGGGACTAGTGATGTAGATTCCTTATAAGAACCCCTCCTGAGCTAGTTTAACAAGGTATTTTAGCTCCACACGCAGAATGTGACTGTGAAGTGCCTTTCATTTGGCATGTCACCTAGACACGTATGTTTATAGCTTAAAATAAGTATGAGAAACCACTTTGGCAACCACTGCTTCTTCATTGCACCATGTGTGCTTTACATATGTGGCCCACAGCTCTCTGGGCCAAGAGGCTGGGGTAGTTCTGTCTCTAAGGCAATGGAAAGAGCTCAGCACAAATTCTTGACGCCATTACAAAAGGACCCTCCCCCACAGTAACTTCCCAAGTGACCATTTTAACTCCTTGAAGAGGATGGGAGATGAGAAAGAAGCCTGTTCTTCACGCTGAGATTATTTGACGATGAAAATAATCTTGTAGGGGGAGAAGTGGAGGCAAGTATTTGAACATTCACAGTTTGATGCAAAGCACAGACGAAGTATATTCTGTAGTTGCTTCAGGCAGTTTTGCGCATAGAAAAAAAGAAATGTTTAGAAAATAAAAAGTTTACTTTGTCTTTCTGGGTATAGCCAGAACCAGTCTCTCATCCCACCTGGACAAGTGAAAATGGGAATCCAAAATTAATCTGATTTGTGGCAGTAAAGGTCTTTAAGTGCTTTCAACTCCTCAATCAGTGTCTTGTTTTGGTTTTCAAGCACAGCCACTCGATTTTCTAGGCATTTCACATACTCCTTTTTCTTCCTGCGACATTCGCGTGCTGCCTCTCTGCAAAGCAAAAGAGGACATTCAAATCCAGAACAATTACTTGCAGACTGGCTACTTAATTGTTTGGGTAAAACCCTTATGTGGTACTGTCATTTTTAGAATATGCAGGTACTCTAAGAAACACCCACAGGTTAGGTAAAAAGGCTGAGCTCATAACAATTTCTCAAGATCTAATGTTCATTTCAATATCCAAATCCCAATTTGCCAGCACCAATACAAATCTGCTGCTCTGAGGAAAGGAGCCTACTCAAACATAAATTTCTGTTTGCAGGATTTCACTTAGAGCTATTAGTCTGAGTGGAATGCTGGTGTAATAATTAAATTGCTTTTATTATAATAAATAGATGAATAATAAAAACATGGATAAAAGTGGTGTTCATCTATTAATCTTCTTATAGTCTCAACTCTACCTTTTACTGCAGTCCAACCAATAGTCAGGAAGTTCAAGCAGTGCAAAAAATGCTGCACTTAGAACATTCATGTATTTGCCCTTGAGCAATACTTTCACTTTCTTAGTAATGTCTGCATCATTGCAGTGATAATATATACCACTCAGATAAGAAAAAATGACACAGTCATTAGCAACAGTACTTGTTCTTTAGCCTTCATCTGCTGTGCAGAGAACATGGCATTGTAAATGCGCTGAAGCAGGTCTTGGGACAATCAAACTCTTCTGTAAAGACTGAGCTGCCTGCAAGTAACTCAGATGTCAATATATTAAGGATACCACTGAAAAATACCTCAAAGGTGCTAATGTGCAGCTGAGCATCCTGAAGGCAGCAACACCAAGGCAGAAGGTGTCCTGCAGAGCAACAGTAATGGTGATGACTTGCAAAATGAGCACAAGGCTAGATGCTGCATGTGGACATACTTGCAGAAGGTTCTCCTGCAACATGGCTTGTCAATGCAGTATGCTGCAGAAACATGTAACATACATTTGTTTGACCTGAATTGCTGAGTGCAATGCAGAACAGCTTCAAAAGGTGAGTGAGTGTCCTATTATGCAAAAACTGCATAAAATGTTGATAATGCCAGTGCTCTGGGTAATGAGAAGGTAAGTTTGAAGATAGCTCTTTCTCTCACGAGGTAAGTAATAACTTGTACAAAGTAAAAAAAAAAAAAAAAAGGGCATGTCTACCATCTGTTCCAGGATCTATCTGGTAAGTCAACACGAAAAGCAACTGCTGATATTCTGCTTTGTAAATGAGACAGAAAGAAGAAAATCTAATTTATAATCCCTGAAAGGACTCAAGTATCCACTGTTCACTCCTACAAATACAGCTTTATATGCTTGTAGCACTTCCGTGGGCCATATGCAACATGTGGAATTTTGTGTCATTTTGGGCTGCCACTTGTGTCATCAAATATTAACTTCTACTGGATTAGGAAAGAGTTGTGCCTCTCAGAGGAGAGCTACTAAGGTGCCTTCTTGGGTGACAACTTCTTACTTATGGTGACAGCCTTACTTAAGGTTTCACAGTCAATACATGGCATAAGCAGGTGTGTTTCTTTGCTTCGCACCTTTAATGACTTAAGAAAGATCAGGATTCTATTTCTGTGCAGAGTTATTTGGAAAAAGAAAGTGATCTAAATGTACATGCCTGTTCTTCATTAGACGCACTTCTCTCTTCCGTGCGGCCTCTTCTGCTGGCTGGGTTGGAAGTGCTGGAGATGATGCCATGACTACTCCAGGTGCAATGGTGCTGGTAGGGGCGGTGCGAATCTGGTAGGTCTGCACATCTCCTGAGGCAGCTGCAAGATGAAAAACATAGGGGTCATATTATCAGTTTGGTGAAAGCACTGTTAAACGTGACGTGAAAAGTGCAGTTATCTATCTAACTATGCATTCTGAGTTACCATGTGAGATAGATGACCATCATATGCATCACTACTGCAGATGTTACTGTCTTAGCTTATCAACATAAAATGTTTTAGGCATTTTGCTGAAGAAGTCTTCACTTGATGCCTACCACATATTGCTGTACTTCTTTTTCCCCTAATACACTTCCTTTTATTTCCCTGGGCTTTGGACAGTCTTAGCAGGTGTAAGAAAATGAAAGATGGCAAACAGTATTTCTAGCTGTGCTCCAAATTTTTATCTGCAAAAGGAGAAACTACATATCTACGTATCTGGGGCAGAAAAAAGCCTGTAGAAACATAGCATTTACTTCAACAATTGTGTGCAAATTAGGTGCACAACTTAATACTTCTCTAGAATAGAGAATGGGGTCTTTGGTTTCTGTTATTTCTTTTAACCCACAAGTGTGTTATACTTGCCTGAGATCATAAAAAATTTGATATCACCTAAAGAGGCTGCATGTGGTTAAGAATGCAAAATCCAGAAAATCAATGTAACAATAGTATTTTTTGCACCCATATATTTTTTTACTGGTGCCTAGAGACCTCTCTACTGGATAACTTTAAAGTATCTGCCTTAGAATCATAAAAGCAGGCATATAATTTTCTGTTATTTTGATAAATATTTTTAAAACTCTCCCTCTTATTCCTAATTAATCAAAACACGAATTTTAATAAAATAAAAAGTAACTTGGTCTAAGTCTGAAGTAGTTCTGCTCTAAGTGGAGGTCTTGATTAAATGACATCTTAAGGCATGATCCTTAAGTATTCTATGATTCTAAAACTCCATGACTAACTATCTGGTGACAAGTTACAAACCCACAACAAAAAAGGAATTACGACTTCCAATTGAAAAGGGAGAGAACTAATAAATAAAGGTGTCCTTATGGAAAGAACATACTAAACAACCTTTTTTCTTAGGTTGGCAAGATGAATCTGTGTGGAGAAAATGTTATACAGAATGACTGGCTGTGAGGCATCTCACCTTGTACAACAACTTGGTTGCTGGGTACAAGTATCTGTTGTCCATCTGTGGTCTGTGCATATTGTAAAATGGTAGTGCCAGGTTGCGTTGCAGCTGCATTGGTCATTGTCAATGTCTGAAGACCTTGTACTCCATCTGTGCCATTGTTAGATAACTGAATTGCTCCTCCTTGCGTAATAGCAACTGCAGACAAAGAAAAGGGATACAGTATTTAAGACATTGATTTACTCATTAATATAAAGTGATTAACCTAGACATAGAAGACTACCAGTCCAAGTTAAAGCCGCTGAACCCTTATAAGCCCTCAAATCAGATACAAGGCTTTACAGTAGGTTTAAAGTAACCATACTTTGACAGTAAGGTTTTAATTTTTCCTGAGACTCATATTTTGAGTCACACCCACAACTTAACATTCAATTTAAAATACAAATTAGTTTCTCTGATAAAACAATATCACACAGAGGAGCTACAATCCTCCCCTGGGAAATACTTTCTGTTAGTTAGTATTCTTCTTGGTTGATTTAGGTCTTTTCCTTGCCTTTTTCTTCTCATCTGAAATTCTTTGCCTCTTCCATGCTTTACTCCCTTCAGTCTCCTCTGCTGCTACTGCTATCCATCTTGTGTTTCACTTTCTTCTTGCTTTGACATTTTTCTCTTCTCTTTGTATCTCCCCTTCTCTACTACTTCCTCAGCACCTTCCTAGCAGTGTTTTCACTCACACAGGTCCAGTTTCACACATTTTTCTTTCCTTCATGAAGTCTTTGTTGGTTTTTTTTCCTTTCTCTCCCTCTCTGCTGTGTACTGAGGTGTACTGAGACATCACTTCTCCTTTCTATTTCCACAGAATTTCACTGTATTCTTATATATAGGCATATCAAAGTCTGAGGCGTCCACATGACCAGTTTATTTTACAGTTATGGTAGAAAAGCAGAATTAACATCATTTCAATATTTAAGTAGGATATTGTCAAAGTGGCTAAGGAGTAAACAGAAACAACATTTTAAAGAGATTTTAAGAGAAAGACATGAACTGAGAATTCTTTCTTCCTCTTGAACATTTATTACTGAGTATATTTGTTTGAGACAGCATGTGAATTCTAGCTTTACTGTTGTATCCTCAACCCTTCAAGTCAAAGTACTGTAGCTATAAAAACTAATGAGTAAAGACAATGAAAACACAGAAACTCTTTTCCTACGTGTTTCAAATAAGCTTGTTGAAGTCCATATATTTCAGGACTTTCTAAAAAGTGCAATGGCAGACTAATGCGTCTTCTATTAACTAGGTAATGATTTAGCCTGGATTAATAGTCTGCCAGCAAAAATTGAAACTACTGAATTACTTCATTTGATTCCTGAAGTTAGAAAGTTTATAACAGCATTATGTTTAACTCATATTTTGCCTCTGGAAGCAGCAGCTGCACTAGCTGGCAAACAATCCCAGAATGTTAATTGAAGATTTCAAATATTAACAAGAGGAATATGTTTAAAAGCTGTATAGCTGTCAAATAAAGTAATCTTAGTTTTACCTCCTGCTTTACCCTAGCCCACACAGTTATACAAATAATAGTTCTTCATCTTCTCATCCCCACTTACTAGCACCACTGAGAAATTCAGACTACATACTGTACTGCCCACTGCTGGTTTGGTAAATGGGAGTTGGCACCGTAACAGTGGCGATGGCAGGTGCTGCTGTTTCCTCTTCAGACTTTTCCTCTTCGATCCTTGGCACTCCTGGGGCGTCTGAGGACAAGTCATTCAATATTTTTCTGGCAAAGACAGTGTGTTGTAGAGATTTTAATAAAAGGTAAGAAAATGTCTTTTTGATCCATAATTATTGGGAAGTGCAGTGAGCCAGCACTGCAAATATGGGTGCAAAATGAAAAACCCAGACTACCTTTGAATTCTTATTGGAGAAAGTTGTTCAGAGTGCTATGCACAGATGGGTAAGGCAGTTAGCAAAGAGCAGCACAGGTGCTTCTCAACAACTGCAATATTTCCTTTTTCTTAAAAACATGTTTGTGTCTCATGCATTTTGACTTGTTTCCTGCTTTCATCCACAAAATATCTGAAGAAAGCAATGTATGCAAAACCTCATCATTCGCATCAGAGGTATAAAGGAAGTTTGCAGAAATGCCTATACAGGGTCACCAGCTTTTAATGGAACAGCTGCCTGGGAGACAATGCTGAGTGTTTAAGCAGCACAATTATGTTTACAGGGGAGGTAAAAACTCTGCCTTAGAAAGCTGTAAGATTAGCATGTAAAGAAAAAGCAGTTTGTTAACTATTTACATGGGCTAATCCTCCAAAGCCCAAACAGCTGAAACATCGCAGCTACAGGTCCTACTGACTGTGACTGTAGGACTGAACATAACCAGTTCCTGCCATTTGCAACGTTTAGACTAAGCACTGTCCCACAGAGAGTGGACTGTCAAGCCAGGAACATCAGGGGGAAATTCTTTACAGAGAGAGTGGTGAGGTACTGGAACAGGCTGCCCAGAGAGGCTGTGGATGCCCCGTCCCTGGAAGTGTTCAAGGCCAGCCTGGTCTAGCATTAAATGAGGAAGTTGGTGGCCCTGCATGTGGCAGGGGGGTTGGAGATTCACGATCCTTGAGGTCCCTTCCAACCTTGGCCGTTCTGTGATTCTGTGAAGCCTTTTTTAGTACAGGCACTGTACTAAACCCTCACTGCAAAATGCTACTTAGGTGTAAAGGAACTTTGTAATTCTCTTTTCCTGTGGTTTGTCTCTAAAATTCAAAGTGTGATGAAGTGAACACCGTTATAGATCCTAAGCTCCAACATGACACTCGTTGCCTTTTCGAGGCTTTGGGAAACAGAACATCTGTGCTCAGCTATGTGGGGAGGCTGGTCACTCTGCTAGGCAACTTGACAAACAATGCTTTCTGTTACTATTTCAGCTCTGCATGTGTGCAGGAAGCCCAGCACTGCACAAGTGCTCCACAGTGCCAAGTACCACTTGGACAGATAACAAATTCCCTTCTAGAGAATTTGAATTCTACGTATTAGATGAGAAAAATTAGTGGACAAAACAGAGAGATTTCAATAAATCTGAACAGAACTATAGAATTCCATCATTTGGCACCCCATGTGAAGAACTCATCCAACACGCAAAATGCTTCTGCTTTTAACCTGCTTACCTGTAGGAGGGTCGTCTGGAAAGAATTTCTCTCCGTTTCTGTGAGTCTGTGACACTGTCTACTGATTCCTGTGAGTCTTCACTTTCTGCTATAGTTGAGATCTGAAAATAAGAACACCAATCAAATTTAACAGGACACTTCCAATGCCTTTTTGTTAAAGAATTGCTGATGCGATGCATGTATTATACAGTACTACTATCTATGCAATGAAAAGAAAGGGCAGGCTGCTTAAAAGTAACAGATACATGAAGAATGACCAGAGTCAGGTATCTACTCATGAGAATGTCTCTTAGAATTTAAATACTACAGTAAGAGAATACAAAAATTAGTCCCAAACAGTTTTTGGTATTCATGATTTCTTCCTTGTTTCCATCCATTCTGAGGGAACAAACGAGGAAGTCAGTCAGATTTAGGGAGAGAAAAATTAAAAGCAAATTAAGAAAGAACACAGAAAGGTTGGAAAGAGCAAAATAATGAAATTGAGAAACAACAACTTATAAATCACTGTATGGATTTATTACACAAAGACTGCTTTTTCTTTTGGGAAATCGTCAGGAAAATGTCATGCCTGAAGATGCTAAAAAATAATGCAGTGCTGCAAGTCTGAAAATTGGAGATAAAAAAAAAAAAAAAAAGATTCATAAAGGAAAGTTAAAATGTTTCTAACAGCCGTAGTTCCATAGTTTTAAATTCAAAGTGTCCCAAAAATATTTTAAAAATCTCAAATACATAAACTCTTGAGGCTGTTTTTCAAATGGCTATATTCCTGTTACAAATATACAAAGCTCATTATGGTGAGCAGCAAAATGCTTATGTGAGAAACACAGCTCTCAACATGATTATTTAAGCACCGTAGGGAAGATCCTTAGAGGATCCAAAAGCTTGCTGGCGCCTAAATCTCAGTTATCAGATAGAGGGCCCAGACAGGTCCAAGGCTGACAGTGAAATACCATGCTTTGTGTATCACAGCATTCCATACACATTTGTGCTTTGCACCGAGCCAGGTGAATCCCATCCATGATTTCACTGTCAGTCTCTTATCTCCCACCCCTGTGCTAGTAATGTGCACTTATCTGAAAACTGCTTGCTTTCAATAGATTAAAACTCTGAACTTTTGACTCTATCAGCTGAAAAGGGCAGAGACTGCCAAAAACTCATCATTAAAACCAACAAGGAGTAAATAAAGACTATTATCAGAATGGCCTAGTTTTAAGTTATGCATGCCTTATTATTTTTTACAAGAATACCCAGCTAGGTATCTATCAGTCTAACTCTGTGTAGCTGCCCAAAGTAATTCCTCTGCTCAGTAACACTGGACTTGAAATTGCTCAAAAGAAAAATGAAATAAATGGTTATGGGTTTTAAGATTTCAGATTACTTTTCTTCTAAGTCTTCAAACCCTCTCTTTATTCATATTGCATTATCTTTCTTGTTTTACGGAAGAAAAACAACATTCAGCTGGTAAATTTAAATATTATTTTTACGAGGAGACCGATAAGTATATTTTGAGGGTCATAAATATACAGATGTATTTTGTAAACCAATATAAATGTTTCCTGAAGTGGCAAAGACTCTCATCTCAGAATATCAGGCTCAAATGATTAACAGATTACATTATAAGAAAAACTGCTCTTGTTCACCTTCGGACAATATTAACTCTTACACTCTTACTGTGCAAAAATAAAGTAGAGGAAAAAAATTAAGAAACACTGAAAGATAAAACAGTAACCTGTTAAACTCCCCAATCAAGTTCTAGAGGGAAATGAAACTCAGTGATGAATTAAAGTCAAAAGTTAAACAAAAAAGAGAAAAAAGTCACAGAGTAGTAAATACTGTACTGATTTTGCTGTTAAATTAATTTAAGCAAAAACATAATCGAGGACACAAGCCCAATAGAAACAAATTGGCAGGACTGTTCAGAAGGTGCAATTTGCGTATTAGGAAGTTCTTCAGCAAATACCTGAACTGTCTGGACCTGTGGAGACTGAATAACTGATGGCTGGGCAGCCTGAATTACGCCGTGCACTTGAACTGTCTGCCCATTGGGCAGCTGAACTAAGGTCACCGTGGGTGCAGAAGATGTTGCGTGAGCTGCTGGCATAGATACCTGCAATGTAGAGACAGTGAACAAAGTTAGGTTATTGCAGAATCCTATTTCACTATCAGGAACACCTTCTGGTGAACAAATTACATCTAATCTAGACACCGGTTAGATGACCCAAATGTTTCAAAGTAATACAAAAAACCCTGAATTGTCTATGCCCAACATCTGACCTACTTTCCAAATTAATCTAATGCAGACTTTCTGCAGGCTCAAAATATCACCTCTAAAACCATTGACAAGATTGAGAAAAACACAACTGCTTCTATTTTGAGTAACCTGATAAAAACATATTAACCTTCAGTTACTTCAGTTACACACTGCTAGGATTTGGGTGTACTCCTACTAACACTGCTGAGTCAAAGGTAGAAATGTATGGGAGTGGAACTATTTTTGTTCTCACTCAGGAGCATGCACAGTTACTTGCCAGATGTAAGATGTTAGAATTTGTAGAGTCATATCCTTCAGACTTATTAGCGACTAAACCATACTGAGTAGCTGGCAAAATCAACCATGTGTTCAGACAGAAAAAAACTGGGGGTTGCTGAGGACCAAAATATATGCAGTAAGTTGTTTTGATCCAGCCTAGCGAGTAAATGCAAACTCTGCTCTTACAGCTATTTCATGTCTGAGGAAAAATGGCCCAACTCTTTAAAATCTCAATTTCCACACACGTTCATTTTAAAGCACAGAGCTGCAGGCAGTGGCTATGCCCACAGTGATGTGCCAACTGTGCAGCGCTGAGCATGGCAGTGTGCGTGCAGCCACACGGCCCTGCACAGGACATGGCCCCAAGGACAGCACTCCGCAAGCAGAGCTGCTCATGCCATGTGGAGAAGTCTCGCTTCTTCGCTGTGCCGAGTGACATGGAGCACAATGGGCAAGCAGTGGGCTGTGCACTGGGGCTGCTCCGTGGCTGGACAGGCACTCCAGGACTCAGTCGTGCTCATCCCTGATCTGGTGACACTGTGCATGCGGTCACACCTGGGCTCCTGGCAGGCAGAGCAGTGCCAGGGCTGCCACACTGTGCCAGGGCCCCAGAGATGCTCCTTACTTGCCATCACAGCCTTGGCCATCGCAGACCATGCCAGTGAGGGCTCGCTCACTAGCCACCCTGCACCTGCATACCTACATTTGGAAAATGGAGTCTTCTGGTGTGTAATGGCTTTTTTAAGAAATGCAATCCATTTAGCTACAGTGGGAGTAGGAGTTCTACTGCCGTCCTGCCTAATCCCAGAGAACTGCTGTATGCAGACTGCAAATTCTGTGCTGTCCTCCTGGACATGTGGTTCTCAAAATACTACAACAGCTCATATCTGAATCTCCATAAACATCCATCATTTACAAAGAAATCTTGCTCGACAACAGAATTAAGGGGAATTTCATGTAGATCTCTCTCCTCCACAGCTGTCCCTCCCTAATCCACAATCTGTGCTTGCCGTTACCTTCCTTTTTTATGAAAATGGCTGCAGCATTACATGGCCGTACTTAGCTCGCAGGAGAGAAACTGGGACTGGGATTAGCGTGAATATGCTTCCTTCTGGCAAATCATATTCCTTCACCAAGTGACCTTTTATAATACTGCACGTCTGACTGAACAGTCCTTGGCAGTGACAGCAATGCTGATCAACTGGAGGCTACACTGCGGCTGCACAAAGCCAACAGCAGAATGCAACTTCCGCAGATGTCTCTGACTCATACCTTGTGGAACTGGAACGAGTTTCCTTTTGACTCCAAAAACCACCCTGAGCTAGCTAAAACCACAGAATTTAGACTAAGCTCATAAGGGGGTGACCTTACAAGAAATAATGAAAGATTAAATTAACATAATTAGTTATTTAGACTTGCCTGAGCCTCTGAGGGCACTCTAATGCCAAGCACTGCCACATGACACATTAAAAATATCATATTAAAGAAACACTGCCAATCAGAATCAGACAAGGAATTGTGTTTTGGACTGTTCAGTCCCCTCCATGAGGATTATAAAGTTTGGGAAATAGCCAAGGTGCAAATAATACAGTGAATGACAATAGGGGAATTAGGGAAACTTACATATTTGCCTGTGCTTCACAGGGGTTTTAATAATAACTGCATAGCCTTTTCTTACTCAAAACAAACAAACAAACAAAAAAAACCCTCATTCAAGCGCCAGGGTAATTTTACCCAAGTGAAGTACATTCAGTCTACTCCATACTGCAAGTTTAACTACCTAGAAGTGAGTATGTCAGCACATAAATGTAAGACATGCTTGCTTCTCCATACGAAATCTTAACACAAATCAAGAGGGAAGCAGCTTACTGGTTTTGCAAGAGAAATAAATGACTTTCACTTAGTTGACACTGACGTGTTATTCACACCACCTACATTCTGTGCCTAAGTTAGACAGTGAGAAAACTGCCCAAAGAAGCAAGCTGGTGCAGGGCAGCTGGTGGTCTGAAAATTCACACTACAGCTCACTGAACAAAAAGCGCCCTGTGCATTTTAACAGCTTGCACCCCTGTGCTATCACTTGAATGGAAGTGTACTGAGTTTATTGAGAGGTGAAAAGACTTCTTAGAGATATTAACCACCTATAAAATTGTACATGATTCAACACTTGCACCACTTAAAAGATATCAAATTCTCCACTCTATGTGATCTAAAAAACATGCTAGCTCTTTGCAGACTGCAAGTACTTTTAAAATGAAATTGTTAAAGGAGAGAGATGAGAGATTCTGTACTCATTTTACACAATGGAGTAACTTCTGCCAGCCATCACGACATCCAAGAATGACACTAGATTCCAGAATTAGAGATGTAGCTGGAATTGCATAATTTCTTGCCTCTCCAAAATAATTTGGGGATAATAAATGATCTACTTCTGTCTGTCTATGTGGCAAACAATTCTGTGAAATTCCATAGGATAAGACAAGCTGTCAGTTGCCAGGTTGTCCCATTTACTTGATCCTAACGTTTACAATGTCCATCCCATCTGATATGATGTTGTATTTTCTGTATTATTTAACTGGATTTTCAGTTTGTTTCCTTCAGAATAAAGTTAATTGTTATAGACAAGTTTCAAACAGAAAATACAACAGAGAAACAATCCGGTCAATATCAAAAAAGACAATAAATTACATAATTTGAAAACAACCCAACCTTTCAGTGTTACGGTTGTGGTAAAGAGTGATAGAAATAATTCAATTAATATTAAATATTCTGTTAAAATTACAAAGTTTACACACATACGGTTCTTGAGAATTAACAGTCAAGAGTGATGTGAAGTTGAAAATTTCTAATGCTACAAAAATCTGAAGACAAACATTAATGAAACTATACATAGCAGCTGTTTCAGAGTCGTATCAATAGGACCTTAACTCAGGCCCGCAAGCAGACATTATCCCTCTTAAAAAAAATTACCCAATAGGTAAAGCTACCATACCATATTATTTTATACCTGGGCTAACGTTGCAATCTGTGGTTGTGCCTGTACTGTCATCTGTTGGGTTTCTGCCTCTGTAACGGCTGCATCTCCACTCTGCTGGTTCTCTGCTCCAGATTCCATGGTCATTTAGTTACCTACAATCACAATATTTGTCGTAAGTCTGTGTTGGTATGCAATTCCATTACTCTTAGTGGATCTGGTAGCAATCACTGCATCTGAATTCCCATTACTACATACTAGTTTCATTTACATATTAAAATGGTGCCAAACTATTAGCATTCAGGCAAAATTTTACATGCTATATGTCTGCCTCAGGTTCATTTTCCTATGTGTAATGTTTCTGAAAAACTGGTCCGGTTTCCTCCAAAAATTGAGATCCGAAAAAAAAAGGGCTTTGCTCATGTTAAAATAATTGCTTGGGCAATTGCACTGTGATGATCTACTACCTCTGTAATTTGGAACAGTGACCCACAATTTGTCAGGAAACCTCAGTGCCAAGGTGAAAATATGCCATAATTAAGCCATAAAAGCATTCCTGCTACAACCCTCCCTCTCCCCATCACTACAGTTTGCAGGTAACCAACAGCAATTTCTGTGTTGGGTACTTAGCTTTCAGTCTTCTATCTGAGCTAAATACGCAACAGCTCCATACACTTTTTCCACAGCCAGACTGTGCATGGATCTACACCACAGCAACTAAAACTTTGCCACTCTGCAGGATTCAGATCAGTATACAGAATGATAGAAGCCAGCGCTCGAAGAACCTTAATGCAATTGATAATTTTTAAATTAACAGGTACACAGTAGTTCATCACGAACTACGTTTTGTATCCTACACATTTTCCAATACACTTATATTTTTAAGAAATAGCTGAGTTAAGTCTGGATCACTAGAAAACACAACTCTATAGAAAGAGGTTGCATAACTCCCAAACCCCAGCATGTAGGCAGAATGCAATGAATGCAAAATTCTGCACTGATCTCTGAGAATTACTTTTCAGTTCTTCTTTAAATACTGGTAAGTAAATATTTAAAATCTGACAAAGAACTTCAAAATACAAGGAAACCTTTCCAACAGGGATACAGCAATACAAAACTAAAATACAGAACCCCCAATACTAAGTAAGAGGAATGGCCATTACCTCCACAGCCACAATACCAATCTCGTGTACCGCTCTGTGCTGCCCAGTTACTCAGGCCTCTCTCTACCCAGCGGCACCACAGCTCTCCAGAGCAGGAGCAAAACCACCAGTTGAGCATTTCTGCTTTCGAGAGGGCCTGGAGGCAGAGGATGCTCAGATCAGTAGGCAGGTGGAAAGAAGGAGAAATCCCCCTCTCCCTTTAGAACTTTACTGGTCCTTGGAGAAAAAGACTTAGAAGAGTCAATATGTGGCGGTACCATGACCACTTTCGAGATACTTCATTTTAAACCTAATCTCAGAGAAATTTTAATGCCAACTAGGTTTCAGTATTACAGCAATGAGAACATGTTGCCCAAAGTCGTAGGATCGTTGCCCAAAGTAGTAGGATCACAATTCAAACCCCAGAATAATACAAAATTTCCATCTCTTAGTAAATGACAAAACAGCATTTCAAAGTAGTAGCTGCATCTAGCACAAAAAGAAAGCAAGTCAACGTATATAAAGCAAAATCGGTATACTTACTATTGAAAAAGATTGTTCAGACAGTGTGTATGTGTGTGTGAAAATAATGAAATGTGGTTGTGTGTTCCAAAAAATTAGTTCCAACATCAGTTTATAAACCCTTAGGAAGTGAAAAGCAGCAGTCATTAAACTTGGTTTTCCTTAAAAAAAAAAAAATGAAAAAAACATTTTTAGAAAATGAAAGTTAAAGTCTTCCAAGTGCTGGAATTTTGCTCCACCTCTCCTTCTTGTCATGGTTTAACATTCCACTTTATGTGACACCAGTCTGACAAATGCCTACAGATAAAAAACACTTTAACTATAGGTATATAGCTATAAACTAGTCATGAAAGAAATTCATTGTGAACTCACTGCTTTGACATAGTCCACATTGCCATTTTTATAAGAATGTCAAGGACAGCCTGTGTCCACACAAATACTGCAAGCCCATTCTTCTCAACAGCACCCAGTCTCTCTCACTGCATTTCATCTTCCAGAAAGCATGAAGGAAAACCCCTGCAGTATTACTATTCATAATACACATTACCAAACAGTTCTTAAGGGTGTCATTAATTACATTTTAAGTGGTTTTCTCTAACACGTGAGTTTTTATTGTGATAGTTTTAGTCCTCCATGTCACACCTCCTTTTTATTTTAGTATTGTTTTCAAATCAGAGTACTAAAGGTTTCTCTTTGATTTTTATCATTTTTATGGATGGACCAGCCATTCTGCCTAGGGTAAGCAAATCAACATCTTTCTCTCAAATCCTTTATAAGTATCACAGTGACTGCACCAAAAGCCCACTTCACCAGAACCACTTAGGAGAACAGGCAGATTGCATACAGCAGCAGCATCTCCCAGGCAAATACTTTAATAGAACTCAAGAAGATACAGTTTCCAAGCTATGTATTCAAATATGTTGCAAAACTAATAATGGCTTTGCGTGCTGATAGAAATTGTGACTCCAGCATGGAGTCAATTGCAATGTAAAAGGGATTAGAAATAGATAAAATGCAGTAAGTTCCTTGAATCAGGGCCTTACCAATCAATGTTCACAAAGGCAAATGTTGCCAAGTTCCTGTTGATACACCTGTTTTTGTAGGAAGAATTCCCAGTCTTCTCATACATTGTTAAGGAAAAGACTTCTGGTTTTACAAGCATGGTTCCTACATTTGTGTCATCTCTGTATATATTACAGTAAGTTTTAACCATTTGAGGTGCACTCTCCTCTGAAATACCAACATTTTAGAAAACAAATTCTTAACTTGACTTGTGAACACCTAAAAGGAAAAACTCCTCATAACATACAGTAAGGACTGAGCAATGCAGGAAGCTGCCTGCAAGATCTGCATCTTGACACATGCATTTGGAGCAAGTTTCAAGGGTGACTTGTAGGGGCTTTTTGGACAAGCTTTGTCTTAGTATATTTACAAGTTCTAAGTAATCTTGAATTTGGCTGATTTACAACGCTCTTCCACCTCAGAGTATTTGTATTCTAACTTCTTCACTACTATCTTCTACAATAAATTGTGAGAAAAAGAAAGAATTATATCAGTGAGCACTGTGGCTTCACACTCAAGATACACTGACTGTTTCATTGTTTCATATTTCTTTTAACAGCACAGTATTAAAAGATTGCCAAGGCATACAAGACAAGACACTTAGAACGTAAATACTTACTAAAAATGCATATCACTGTATCAGGCATGACTCATTTCAGAAATGTTCTTTCAAAAATATTTGTTAAATGTATCTATCTGAATGAAATTACCTTCTTATGTCTTCACATAATGCAGTCATCAGTTTATCGACTGTGTGGTTGAACGTATGACTATAATGGCTATAAGACTATAAGGTTATCAATCCCTATTAATTCTTGCAATTCACAACTCCTTCTGCTTCAAGGCTGCTTTCCAACTTGTCAAAAAAGGACTCACACCTCTACTTTCAGAAAAACAGCTCTTGGTGCTGTTCATCTTGAACTAAGCATTCCTAGATTAAACTGAAGGAAAAAAAAACCAAACAAACAGCTGCAACAAACAGAGTTGAAAAAGTCAGGACTCTGCTTGCCTGAAACACTCTGGGAATGAATTCTGAACACAGGTTAAGAAAGCTGACATGATTACCTGGTTAGGTATAGTCTAACTCAACACTTATATTTAATAGATAACTTTCTTTATTAATTAAAAAAAAAAAAAAAAAAAAAAAGTATTATTTAATGTATTTACTGACAAACTGAAATTCCAGAGATGAACAGCTAAACAGCAAAACACGCAGCTGACACCCAGTAATTCATTTTAATCAAATAAGTAGAGGGAGAAAAAAGTTCAGCAGAAACTAACTGTGCTAAACAAAGCTGCAATATCACAGCACTAAGACAATAAGCACAGAATTATGACAATGAACACAAGCAGTTGCAGAATGCCTAAGAAATTCTGAACTACATACATTGCAAAAATAATCCAAATAATCCTGTCTTGTTCATAGCATAAACCAAGGAAAGGCTCTGGGCACTACTGCTTCTAGCTCATCTCAAGTTTCTGCTTGACATGCACCTATGACAAGAAAAACTAAAATATTAGAATGCAACAGTAATAACATACTGGGTAGACTTAAGAAATTCTGTTTGTGTAAGTGGGCCCTATCTATCAGCTGGATTACAGTGCAGAGGATGGCAGCACACTGTGGAAATGGGCTTTATGGAATTCAGGTGTTCAAAGAAAGCAAGCATCTGGGGAATGAGTGTCTGTAGCTGTATCAGGAGGCTGCAAAAAAACTGTGTTATTTACCTCAGAAAGATGTGCTCCAAACATTTCAGTAACACAGAAAGTAAGCAAAAAACATTCACTGCCTGAATATAAAACAGCAAAGCTAAAGGGCTGCAAGTTTAAAAGTATAAAAATAAAAATTTAAAAATATTTACTAAAAAAAAAGGTGTAAATTGGTACTTTATGTGCTACACAAAAAGGCCACTGACACTGATAAGCAATTTATAAGGATTAAAATAGGGTTAGACATGCATAAGAATAAGAATATCCGTAACTAAGGAGATCATTTCATACAAAAAAAAAAAAAAAAGTGCAGAACTGAAAGAAAGATAACAATGAGTCAAGATGTAAATTAATTTCTAATCCTTAAAAAATCAAATATTTTCATGAGGGGGCAGATTATGTTGTATTTAATTCTTACAGTTCCCAGGACTGTCATGAGGTACACACATCACTAGTATTTTAGACAGGATGCTGACTGAGGTGACCTGCAGATAAGAGTTATCTGAGCTCCAATGCTGTACATTCAGAGCACGAGTACAGCCACCTCCCTTCCTGTCTTTAAACTCAGGAAGATATAACTGTCTTCTTACAGATTTCCTATCTTCTTCAATCCACAGTACTCACCTACTGCCAGTTATTCGGCCTCCCTGATATATCCGCTTTCTTACTCCTTGTATCTCTTACCCCAGATACCCCTACAAACTCCAGCATCTCTCCCAGACGCGACGCCCCACCCCCTGGTCCCTGCCCACCCCTTGGCTCCAGACCTTGGCTCGCAGCTACCGCAGAGTTTTCCTGCTCTGCAAAGATGGTGTGTCACCATGCAGGACCAGACCGAAGGAAAGAAGATGGAGCCCACTTCCCAACAGCCGCTAAGTCCAAGAAGCAAAGCACCAGAGCTGTGGCAGCTGTGGCACATACAACCTTCTGCAAGTGAGGAAGGTCCGGAGTGCCGCAAAGCTGTGAGGCAGCACTGATCAGCGCACAGCTGGCAGCCGCAGCCGCAGCCTGCTCACAGCAGCCATGGCCGTCGCCTGGAACTTACTAGGCCACACACTTCACAACTTTGAAAGGCCTCTTTCTCCTCCACAGCTAAGGGATGGCTTTTGGTTTCACTTTACTCAAGCACCCAAGCAGATGTTGAAGAGCACCACAATGGCTTCCAACGCCAGCAGGGAGCAGACCTGACAGACCCATGCCCACCAGTCCGACTGCGCCATGCCCAGTCAGCAGTCCACCTGATCATGCCGCCAATGTCTCCGCCATGGCCATGCTGCTTCAGGCCCAGCCCAGCACCCAGCCACTGAGCTGTGTGCGGCAGTGCAGGGCCACGATAGTAGCTACACACGGAGAGGTCTACATTATTGAAATGAATAAACTGTTTCACAAGGCATGTTCCTTTTACAGATATTGCTTCTTGTCCCAGATGTGATTGAAGCCTGTTTGGCCTACTTCTGCATTCCCTTCATTTTATTATCTTCAGCAACCTCTAGCATGAAACGGATTTAAGGACGTTCAGACAAGAGAATAAGTGCGGTAACAGTTTTGTATGGTGCTTTAACATGAACGCTGCTGTGTATGCCAGTTCTGATTTCAGCAGCTGTCCTGAGTTCTGGAAGGCTCCTCCAAAGTGAGCACATCAAGCCTGTTCTTCAAGCAGTGCTCACTATGGCCTATATTTCATTTTGTTCATAGCAGGCATACCAGCACCGTTGTTCAGAAAGCACATACAGCTCCGTAGTCCACAGTTTCAGGAATTAAATAAAGTCACATGTCTTTGCTACGTGTGGCTTTATTAAGCCACAGATCCACCATGAAAGCACTGAAAAGTTATCAAACATCACTGCTGTGTGCTATTATTTG